AGGCGAGTCCTACCTATATAACCATTATCCAGAAGTAAGCAGGTGTATCTCCTAAAAAAGGGAAGAAGGAGGAAGTTATTCTGTTTCTGTCAACGTTGGAGTTTTCAGCCAACGGCGAACTCAGTTATTAGCTATTTTTATTTCTTAGATTTCGAGCTCAAGATTTCCGTTTAGGGATACATCATGTAAACCCAGAAGGCAATGGCAACATTCTATGACAACACTGTTTTAAAAGGTTTTCGTGCGAGCACGAGGTCATAAATTGAAAGTTGTTTGCATTAACCATGACTGGAGTAAAATATAATTCCAAATATTAAGTCACTGGTCTTTCCCTTCACGGAAGTCTAGTGGTGTTTTACTTCATTTCGCGAAGAGATTCAGCCCTCAGCCGTGCTTCAAGAGCTTGCATTTCTTACATCGACGTGACATTCGCCCTTTTTTATGGTTGTTGTCGCTGTTTCTGATAGTATATATCTTCCACTGATGACGTCACACCATACCGACTACGGGAATTATCTATCGGTTTCATTGGCGCTGGACTCTAACAAGGATGACTATAGGTGCGCTTACTAAGGAAGCTGATAATACTGAAATATTTCTAAAAGTTCATTTTTTGTTGTTGTTGTTTTTTGCTTCACCTAGCAGTCAATTATAGTACGGCTACGAAACCTTGACCTTTTCTGAGTGATGGCAGTGGTTGGGGAGAAAATAAACTACTTAACATTTTATTGATCACGCTAACTTGCCTGTCAGTGTACAAAGATTAAGAGAGTATAAACTCCCTTGAGCGTTTTAAAGAAAAAAAGATAAATAAATAAAAACGACTTGCCTCCCCGTGTATCCGAAAATCGAAAACCTAAAGTATTGAAAAACACAAAAACAAAACAAAACAACCAAAAGCTTTATTAACTCATCCTGTAAAAATGCCTTTTTTTCTTCTTTTTGTGTTTGGAGTTTTTAAAAACAATTTAAAAAGAACAAAACACACAAATTTCTCTATCAAGATTCAAGATACACTTCCTAAGTTTTATAGGAAATTTTCATATATTTTCATTTAGGGATACACAAAGTAAACAGACGACAATGGTAACTTTCCATGACGAGACTGTTTTTCAGAAAGGTTTTCATGCGACCACAAGGTCATGAATTGAAAGTTGTTTGCTTTGAAACTGGCAATTAACAAATAATTCCAAAAATTAAGTTACGGGTCTTTCCCTTCACGGAAGTCTAGTGCTGTGTTTACTTCATTTCGCGAAGAGATTTAGCGCCCAGGCGTGCTTCTTGACCTTGCATGTCCCGTCCGTCGACGTGACATTCACCATATTTTTTAGTTGTTGTCGCTGTTTTTGTTATCTGCGGTAGGAGTATATATCAGTCTTGGACACTCCACTGATAAACAAAATAACAAACAAACAAACAAACAAAAAAAAAGATTACAATAAAGAAAAACGACTTGCCCTCCCGTGTGCCAGAAAAAAACTAGAATATTGAAAAATACAAAAACAAAACATCTGAAAGCTTTATTAATTCATCCTGTAAAATACCTTTCTTTCTTCTATTCGTGTTTGCAGTTTTTAAAGCAAGAAGAACAAAAACAAAGACATTAAAAGGTTGTGCATGGTCGGAGGCCACTTCAGTCATGCACGGATATTTTCAGAGAGCTGAAACAAGACACACATTTCTCTATCAAGATTCACGATACACTTCTTCAGTTTTATGTGAAGACAGCCGGATACAGTGATGTGGGTCGCCTTGATGTCCTTGATCTTAGTGTTTAGAGTTGAACATCGATAATTATATTTGTAACCGAAGTCTGGGGTTTGTGTGTACTCGTGTTTTTCTTGATAATATAATAAGAATGTTCAAAAAGGAAATTACGGAAGTAATTAGGGGTACTTAAGGGAAACTTGTGGTTAAGGAACAAACTAAACATGTTTTGCCCATTCCGGCACTGTAACTGAATTATTGACTCATGAAATGATTTCTATTCATGAGGCCCGCAAGTTCAATTCAAATTGTAAATTGAATAATACTCATCCTTCTATGCAAGTCTTCAAAGCCACGATTAAGGCACTTTATCACCTATAATAGGCAATAGCGAACAGGCGGAACAAACCAATCACCCATTTAGCGTACATCGAAATTTGTTTGGATACTCAGTTGTGTTTTGTAGTGTTTTTTAAAGTTATTTGTTAACTTCTTGTCTTGTTTTGCATTCACTATTTAGTGTAAAAAAAATTAATAAAAGCTATTAAAGTAACAGAAATTTGAATTATACTGTAACTTTACCAATTATATGATTTCATTTTCACGTTCTTTTATTTGTATCATTTGCTAGATACTATCGCACGAATCAAGACTTATTCGTATCATTTGCTAGATGCTCTCGCACGAATCAAAACTTATTGGCATCAGAATGAGAAAAAAGGTGAGTTCAAGAAAGAATTACGAGATTGTATAAAGTGTATAAAGATGTTAACCATATATAAAGGCAAAAACATTGTAGAAAATCAATGGGCTGGCCTAGCCAGCCACCGAGAAATAAGGCTCACTTGGCAAACTTTTATCTCGGAATTAAACTAAACAAATTAAAACCAAGGTTATAAACGTTCAGTGACCTGATTTCTAGCATGTTCCATTTCTTCCTTCTTAAATTTCATTCGCTTCCACCATCTGGGCCCCTGGAACAAGCTCGATGTCTAAAACGGTCTGGATCCGAGTTAATTAAAGGAAACAGTTGAAGAAAAAGCAGCAAACTGAGACTTACAGCCAAGGGGAAAACTTAAATTCTCTGGTGCCAGTGGCGTGGCAGGCTTTTTTTTCTCTAATTAAAAAAAAAAAAATTATCGTCCAAAGCAGCTGCATGGTTAGCAGTGGTATTTATAGCGTTTGGGTTTTTGTTTACTGTCGTTGTTATGGGGAAAGTAGGGGATGAAACATGATCGGCCCGTCTTTCATCCAAGTTTTCAACCTGAAAGACGCCCAAGGTCATGTGATACCAAGTTTTTTACGTTATGACTGAAAGATAAGATTGAGCACAATGTTAATCCTTCTCAATACGGAAATAGCGTGATTATTTTGGTTTAAGAAGAGTTTCAATCAGCGCTTCGTAGCGCTTCATGACCTTCCATGGCTCTCATCGAATTGACTTTTTTCTTTGTGTAGAGTTAAATTGCAAAAGTTTTTTTCTTAATATCTTTTCCTCTTCTTCCTCCCTATTCGCTAGTGGCATAGTATCGTCACTGACGGCGTCATATCATGCTGATAAGGGGATTATTTAACGAACTGGATCATTTTCATTAGTACTTGTCTATAACCCCGATGAGGATAAGCCACAAATAAGCTTGCAGCTCTCCAGACAACACAAGTTACGAGAGTTTTTCTTAAAAAAAATTGTTTCCTTCATTTAGTGTTGTTAAAGGCCGGACCTATGTAGCAACGAGACCTTCTGAAAATGATTTCGTTTTCCATACCACTAAATGAAGGAGTTTAGCTACTGACTTTTGTAGGAGGAGTATAAGATGGGGCGACGTTGACAACTAAACAACCATCCAAAATTTCAGTTTAACTCGACCCGAGTCTCGCTAGAAATAAACTGAATAGGACCCTCGTGGTGAATTTTTTCTCATGTACTTTCCGGACATAAAATAGAAGATAACTGAATCCGTTTGTCACTGTCTGCATTTATAGGTATACGTTTTTTAACCCTTTCACTGCCAAATTTAGCCAGAAGCAAATTTCGACCAAATTTCCAAATTTCATTTTGTGAAATTTTGAAAAGCAAATAGCACCACATGTAAGTACAGGCAGAGAGCTTTCATTTGAATGGTCACATCATACGATTTGGTCTGCAGACTCAAAAGTTAGAACTACAAACTAAACAAATAGCACCATGTTTATGTACAGGCAGAGAGCTTTCATTTAAATGGTCACATCATAGGATTTCGTCCGCAGACTAAAAAGTTAGAGTCACCTTACAAAGCCCCATCAAGCACTCTGGCAGTGAAAGGGTTAATAGAGGGAGAACTTGTCAAAGGTAATTTAACTTTGATGATCACTCTTTTTACCTTGGTGTAAATTGAAAATTATGTCAAAGAAAATACGCGTCTCTGGGATTGCCTGCACTCACACGTTTCTCGTGATCATCAGGACAAACAAGAATAACAACAAGGAAGTTGTGGAATTACTTAAAACCAATCATCATCATGATGAGTGGTTTTATGCACACATACTTGTTGAACGCATTTGTAACAATCTGCATGTGAATTGATTCTCAACTGAATTGATATAATAGGTTAATGAGGCATATAATCATTGACGATGTAATCAAAATCATCGAGTCATCGTTAGTAAAACTGAAATTCGAATTTTGAATTATTATAATTTTGTTTCTAACTATTTTAAGATTTATTTTTGTTTCTCTAGTAGCATTTGCTAGAACTTATCTTTCAAGAACTGAACGACCAAGGATCATAGTAAGCACAGTCTAGAAATCTCCAAATCTTTTTACCGAAATGAAAACAAGTCTTCGCAATTTTTCAATCCCAATTCAACAAAGTCATGCCACAGTATACACGTATAGTTAGAAGCTACACAGTGGTTTTTCGTTCACTTTTGTAACGTGACTAATAGTTTTTTAATTTTTTAACTAACAAATCGTCCTCTACAACTGTTTATTTAGGTTACTGTTCTTCATCCATACGTGTTATTCAAGGCTTTGCGTGTTGCCGTCGCTTTAATTTGATGACACAAATTTTCGGGTTGATCCATAACGTCGTCACTCATTCCCTATCGTCACGTTCCTTGTGACCTCGGACATCGCTCGGGTCGTCGGGGAACCAATGAGAATCCGGATAAAATTAGCCCTTAGCTAGTTTTACGTGGGTTGTGACGGGAGAGCAAACAATGGCGAGACGGTCAAGTGTATAAATTGCTTTTCACCCGTGTTTAGCTAACTCATTCTTACAGAGATACAGTACAGTGCTTGGTCATTTCACACAATGGGGAACATAGTAGACTCGGTCGAAACACAACCAGCAGAAGCAGAAGAAGGCATTAACCATTCAAACTCATCCGATTCCCTCCAGTACAGCGTGGATGAAACAGTTATTGATTTGGATGCCCCTGAGTACAAAGAGTATCTTAAGCATAAACGAAAGATAAGCCGAAGCGAGGGAAACCTCCATGACATTTCCTATCTTGACTGGGTCAAAACAAACAACGTGAAGCTGATATCAAGACGTCTCAAAGCCAGGTAAGGTTGCTCCTGAACGCAGTAAAGCATTTGTATTCCCGGGCGTATATCTTAAGTCAATTCGGTTTTGTAATGCAAAGATTAAGAGCTTAGATTTAGCTGTCCTTTACCTTTGTTATTGTAAATGAAATACGAGGCTTCAAATTCCAAATAATTCTGTTAAATTTTGTCTACCGATAGCAGTAGTGTTGTTTTATCAAAATCCAGTATTTGACTGCTTATAATTCACCACGGTTCATTAAGTACTGTACACTTATGAATGTGTCGGAAGCCCTGAGCATTCTTTGATTCCGTACAACACTTCTCTTGAACAAACAACAAATCTTGATTAATCAAATGAGCGAAAGTCGTTATAAATACGTGAGCACGTTTGAAAATCTTAACACCCAAACTTCCGTCTTTTGAAGAACAGGGAGAGCTGAAATCATGACTGATATTACTGAACGTTGATGAAAGTAATATTTAATAGTCTTTTTAAATATCCCTCAAGAGTACTATTCTAGCTGTAACATTGGAGAGACACGGGTGATCTTAGCAAATACTATGTCGTGAAATTCCTAAGATTGGGCATAATGCTTCCCTACCAACATTTTTGCAGTTCATACTTATGTACACAAAGTGAATGTTCCAGAACCCATCCCAGTTCAAAGCAAATCATTTATGCGCGAAGAAAAAGCTCAGAAGAAAGTTCTGACACCGTTCTTATCAGCGCACACCTGTGTGGTCCAAAATACAAATAACTTTCCAAACGAGAATTCCAGATTTTAAGGCACACTCTTGATGTTTTTAAGGCAGGAAGCCGGGTTATATGTACGGTACTGACATATATCTTTTAACTATTGTTTGCTGACAATACACTATATCAAGGAATATGAATGCTTATTATCTTATGAGCTTCGCGTACCCGTCCCAGGTCAGTGATCAAAGAGCAATTTCTTGTTAAGTTTCTTGTAAGTTTCTTTTATTGTTAAGTAACAACAAAAAGGTGGTATATTTCTTGGACGAATTTCAGTTAACCTTTTATTTTTCTGGCCGATCGAAATCTCTTTTGTCTGCAATCGATGCTTGCATGCTTCAAATAAATTATTGAATTTTCTAGAAGAAACTTATTGAAGTACGAAATCAAACTATTTCAAATAGCAACAGGTGTCAGACTATTTTTAACCGAGTTAATTTAGTTCAGGAGTGGCTTGGCCAATTTGAGAGATTGAGATTTCAAACGACTTTTTTGGGTAAACGAGGCCAGGATGTGGTTGTTTTGTGTATTGATTTCACGGCGTTATCAGACTACTAATTACTTGGCGGAAAACGTAGGTTATTGTTCTTCGACTAATTAAGCTTCCATTTTCGTTCAAGTACTGAACAATGAATTAAAGAGCTGTCACTGTTTGTTTAGTTTTAGGATAGATTTTCCATTTAAACCTACAATCGCAATATGAGATGTCCGTCGCCGTCAAGTTCGTAACGACAGAACAGTGCTCTGACTTCAACTGATAGACACTCGTGCATAAACTTTTGTTTTTATTGTGATAATGACAGACAGCACGTTTCTTCTACGCTCAGTCGACCCTGAATCCTTTGGGTAATGAACTGATGTAATCCGCGCATAGAGTGTGAATTACTAAAGAGGTCCGAAAAGAAGAGAAATTTTTTGCTCATCGAAAAGTTTATAAATATCAGAACCTTCTGGGCCTTTGGCAGTGTAAGGACCACATTTAAGAGACTGAGTTAAAACGTGGGGACCTGATATTACAGACAACTCATAGAGTACAATAGTTTTAACTTGTATTGTTTAAATCAACACGAAGCCACAGCCATTACAGAATATTGTGACTGTGTTTTGTTTTGCATCCCGGTCTCTTGCAATATTTAATCGAAGCGCCAGTGCAATTAGTGGGTCATCTTTATTGTTTTGACCTTTCGTGATATCGCATTTATCTATGAGTAGCTCTTTATAGCTGATATTAGTCGGATTCTTTAAAACGCAAATATTAGAACAAAATGGGAGTTGTTGAAAAAATATCAATGCATACTACTACCTACCTACTATCCGGAGTCCAAAATAGAAAGTGTTATTATTAGCAGGGGTTCTATTTGCTTTCCTAGAGCGATTTAAGTGCCTTCCTCGTGAAATCTTTGATTACCTCAATCTACCCACAAGTTCCCTCTTCTTCAAAGACCATTTGCCGTACAGGTTCTAATTAATCTTTTTATATCTTTTTATTAAACTATTGTTGTTTGATAGTTCATATCTGCCTGTATCAGCACCAAAGTTTATGATGATTCAAGTTTACAAATAAGATAAAAAGACTATTTGGAAAAAAGGGACACCTGTAGTATATATTAAAGCCCTGTTAAGGAAACCCAATGTATAATGTGCGCGTTGGTTTCAGGGCTCTCAAGGTTAATATTTTAGCTTCGATAAATGAAAGCAAAACATGATGCCCTAAAATGGTAATACTGCACTACGGCCACTATTGATGGGAAAGTGACACCCACTATCTGTTGTCAGTAGGTAAACGGCGAAGCGTTAATAATTACAGGAAAAAATTATTGTAATTGTTTATAATTTACCTAAGTGTTCTTTGTTTCTTTTGCAGCGATTTAGAGGTCAGCGACGATAAACTTGCCAGGAGGAGCTCAGCTCCGATAACAAGAAATGATTTTTTTGCTGTCAAGAAGAACAGTGAAGAGTGTGAAAAGCGAAAGTTGGGAAGCAAACAGCGAATAAGAGACATTAAGAACAAGTACAATCTAAAGAACAGAGACTACTCTGCCAGGACATATGTGTGGAATGAGGCAGATGAGAAAGACAATAGAAAAGAACGGGAAGAGAGAAAAAGACTTCGGAAACAAATTCGTCAAAAATACAATTTGCAGACGCCAAACGTTCAAAGGCAGATTTCGGTGGCCAAAGGATGAACACTGGTGCGAGTTGTGAAGATTGTCAGCTTGCTTAAAGCAAATTGTGCAATGGCATGGCCCGCACTAAGGCACGTAAAGATCCTCTCGTGGCGTTAAGTAGACACATATATTGGCATCCCAAGACTTGGACAGTCCGAAATAGCTAATAAAGGCCAATAAATTAAGACGCTGTCTCCAAAAATAATGTTGCAAATAGCTTCAGTTTCTGCACCGTTCAGAAAACTCGACTGAAACACGAAAAGTAAGAAAAACAAAAACTTTTGAACATTCTAACAAAGAAAGGTTCTACTATATGTAGCTTTCATAGAAATTATCAGAATTCAGGATTTTATCCATGCACCTCATTTCTGAGATAAGAGGTTAAGGATGAACAGTCTGGTATTAACAGTTTGACTTAAAGAGTAAAAAGCAATAATTACAGTTTAGTCAGTTTTACTTAATTAGCAAAATTGATGTAAATGTATATTTACATTTGCCCAGGAGAATAGAATGTTTGTTAAGCTGAATGTAAATACTATCAAAAAATTATAGTGATAAAGGGCAGTTTCTTTCTATAGGACCAATTAAAGTTACATTTATGATAACAGCGAGAGATTGACTTTAGTTCTTTGGTTCAAGCAAGACAGAAATTAAAGCATTTTTTTTTCAAAAGTACGCCCCCTTAACCCTTTTGCCCCAGTATTCAAAGTTGAAATTTTCCGTACTGATTTCCTAACATTTCCTTAAAAAATTGAATAAGAGAATTTCATGAAAAAAAATTGATGAAACAGTTTTCTTTTGGTAAATATTGTGAAGAAAAATATTGCCATTGGCCACTTTTACAACTTTTTATGTATATATTATGCCACAATAGGCGCACATTAATTCCCTAATTTTTCCAGCAATTTTTTTATCGACAAATATGACCCAAAATAACGCTTGTTATATTAAGCCTTCCAGTTTAGGAACCACTATTATAGAGTCCTACCCAAATAAGAAAGAAAGAACAATATCTAAAATCAGTGTGATTTTCAAACTGTTTTCGCACTAAGTAGTAAAATTATATGTTTAGATTGCGATCACATCGCAGTGAACTCAACTGATGGGAGCAAAGCAGTTATGAAACTACCGAAACGTTTCCTAATCAAGCTTTAATAATTAGGCCAAAAAATTTTTATACTGAATTCCCAATGTTATTTTGACCTAGGGCGATGCCAGCACTCACATTATATCACGTACTTTTGGTCAAGTGTTTGTTTTGTCTTGCTTAGTATGGACCACTGAGAGACAGTATCCGACCATCAAATAAGTGTGGACAATAAACCCACTTAAAAGTTACAATATAAAAGGACAAAAACAAACCAAAAATGGTATATTTGTAAACACATTTATTTTCGCATTTTTAACAGCGACTAAACCAGTAATATAACTTTTTCAATATAAACCAAGAACATAATTAAGATGTTTAATAGACAAGATATGTGTCCTTTGTTGTCCTCTGACGAAGGCAGTGGTGGTCTTCATTAAGGGCCCGAGATGAACCAGTCCTGCTGATGAAATGAAATCAAAAGTTTGCATTAAGTAAATGACTGTAGGGAAGACGTCAACTTGTTAAATTAAAGATTCACGGCTTTTATTCAGTTTAACTGACTTAAACTGAATGAAGGAGCTGCGAGGCTAACAAGCCTAGCGTGGCCGTTTTATTATTAATATTTTTATTCAGAGTTTATGCTAAAAACACTTTTCTAACATAACCACGGTAAAATGTATGAATTCGAACTTTTAAATAACATTTTTCGGTGAAAAAAAAATTGGTAAAATGAAATAATATAAAAAGAATTCCATCCGTCAAATAGCTGTTTCAGTTAACGCATAATTTATGTCTAGACTAAGAATAATTAACCTAAAATGGTAAAGAATCAACAATTTGTTGAATATCGCAAATTCCTCCCCCGGGAAAAAGGAACAGTCTCCATTTTTTCTTGAAAAAAATTCGTTTTCAGTAAAACAAGCTTTCGTTCTCGTGCATAGAGTTAGCACTCAAATGTCTGTCCCCGGCGACAAAACACAAAGGAAAGCCTCGGGGCGAGCACATACACAGGGTGACTGAATTTAAAATACACGACATCGTTTACCGTTATTAAAGGGCCGTTTTTAAGAATGAAATAAGTTAAGTTCTTTTCCTCCTTTTTGAAATTTTGAATTATTGTTTCCTCTTGTGCTTTTGGTTGACTTAACTTTATTCCTTCAATGAAGTTACAGTATAGGTTACAGATAAGTTACTGTTGTTAACAAAAAGTTTCAGTTCAATAGGGAGACAAACTTAGAGTGCTTTGTTTATCTTTTTGTCTCTGCCTTTTTTTTCCCTGATGTAAGTGTAACGTGTTATTCTCATACCTCTGTCCCAATTTCCTTATAAATAACGTACTTATTTTGATTCGTCTGTATAATATTTCGTTCTGTATAATTTACTCAGGCCTCCTGAAGCGGAAGCAATTTTCTTGAAACGTGACGACGTTGAACGCAGCTCCGAAATGCCAGTTTAAACTAGTTTAAAAACATGGTGGTGGGTGTAGAATATTTATTATACATCAAGAAAGGACATCTTCTATTTTACACATACAGGAGCCCATAAGTGCGGTTTGTGTTTTATGTCTACGCCCTGCACAATATTCAAGTCCTGCTTCCGAGAGGGAAGACACACCTTCGTCAAGTCCTTGAACAGTGAGCAGAAGTAATGTTCTCCCACCGAAACAAAACAAAGTAAAACAAACGAAACGAGAATAAAAAGTTTCCGAACCTGACTGTTAACCTGCCAACGTCTTAAGTACATTGTGTCAATCCGCAAAGAACCTTAGAATTCCCATAATAAGTCTGTGGGCTTAAATTTTCTCAATGGGCTTCTTCGAAGGGCTTATGTTTGGAGGAGGGTGCTATTACTGAAGAAAAAATCTGGAATTGAAAAACTCAGGGCTTGACTTAAGATTGGAGAAAACTTTCTGTCGTTTATTTTCATAGGGTGTTCCCTTTTCTTTGAAAATATTTTCATCTAAAATGGAATTTTCGGCCCGTAACGTAGTATAAGTTGGTAGCACAATTAAAAAAACCAAGGAACAGCCCACTTATACATTTATTTAGCTTTATGATTCATAGAAATTTGCAATTTGATTTGTGAAAACTAAAACGCGTTGGCTTATCTCATAACGTCCTGCATGATCTTTTTTTTTTTAAAATTTATTAGGCCTTTTTTCAAAAGTAAGTCACAGGGCTTAATTAATTACGGAGGGGCTTGTTATAAAATCTAGGCTCTTTTTCATTTTTGCATTTCATATTCGGGGTAGGCGGTTTGTTGAAGGAGGCTTATTTCAGTTCAGAATTTTACGCAGAAAGTCAATCAGATTTAAGAGTATTTCACAATCACTGTCGTCGCAGTTATTATCGAGTAAAGCCACCTACGTGGGCTTATATTTTCCACTTAGATATGCTTAAGAACGTATGGTACGTGGTATCTGCAAAGATCGCAGGAAATAATATTAGTCTCTTATTGCCCATGGCGAAAGCTTTGTGGTCTCTTCTTTTCTAAAGAAACCACACAATTATACCACTGAAAAGAGTAGCACTACACCATACTATTGCAACCTGCTGAGATCCTTGATTTATTAAGGTTAGTTTTGCGCAATACCCTGCAAGAAAACTAAACATGCTACTTAACTTCAATTCATGCCTAGAAAGCCACACTGTAGAAAATTTGCACAGTCAAGCCGGCGGGTGCTACAAAACAACAACACAATGACCTTTATGACCAAATATGTAAGCGTTCCCAACCAACCAGTTTCCACACAAATTGCAAATTCTTACAACCAATTGAAACAAAAATTTTAGGCTCAACATTGAAGTATGTAAGGGGGGTACTTCATGATCCTACGGGTTGTTGTGAGTCGCTTAATGAATTTCCTTTCGCAAAAACGTTGACTGTACACATAATTTCTCTTTCGGTCTACACTTACGCTTGAGTTGCGCTTAAGTGCTCTTAATTTCGTCAATGGTAATTATGATACTGTTTCCATTTTAAGAATATATAGTTATCTTTTTTCACGTTTTTTATAATGCCAAGTGATCAGCATGAAGTTCAACTTCTCGTTACTAACTTTGGACACTTAAGCGTACTGATACCACTTTACTAAGGTCCCAAAGATGCATTGTCAAACTTCAAGTAATTTTCGACAGTTGGCAATGTATAATATATTATGATTTAAAATGGTGAACATTGATATTGATACAACTAGGAGCCTACGGCCTTCAGGCTCCTGATACAACGCATGTAGTTCTCAGTTTAGCATCTCCATATGGTATTTTCTTCTGTTATGATATTGCACTTATTATTGATGAAAAAGAAGTTGTTGGCATAGTAACAAGGATAATTGCGACAAACAGTCTGATAAAAACAAAAATTAGGTCGAATAATCATTGCGTGGCAAATTTTTGCCCTCTAGAAATAACTTATTCAACCCAATAGTAAGCTGCTAATAAACCTTCGGCGTTACCGGACCTTGAGATTTCGTCTCGTGTCAAAGTAGAGGTATAAAAATAGTATTAAACAACTGCTTATAAGAACTGATAATTTCGGGGTTAAGCAGCCCCGAGTGACTCTTTAGTCGGACTTTTACAAGATTCTTAAACAAAATTTGATGGTATATAATATGTAATGATCCCCAAATTAATTCTATGTTACAAAGCAATGAATGTGCTTCTTTATTTAAAGTTTTTTTTTAAATAAATGCTTTTACTAATATAAGTGAACATTCGAGTTACTCTATTTAGTTCATCGTCTTATTTTGGCATCCCTCTGTCTTTTTACGTAACGGAACATGTTTTATTTATCTGCAGGCTGAAATGGTTCTTAATATACATAAGGCGCTTTATTTAACCAAGTTTTAGCCTGACAATCTTAATCAACTTGTTCTTAAACGCGGGTGTTTACGGCTGTAAATTAACAAGACGTTCATAATGCATGGAGA